TACAAAATTTTATGTTAATCCAAGATGATTTGATACTTCGATTCTTATAATATTTTGATTCTTACTTGTAAAACTTCCCTACTAATCCAAAATTTTTATCCTCAAAAATCATATCTCGCCATCCCAAAAATCATCCAAGGATTTGTAGGGTCCATCTTCAGATACAAATTCTCTTGCTAAGAAGGCTCTAAACTGTGGAATTTGCTTGATCTTCACCAGATCAGACTCACTCAGCTTCCAATCAAATATTTGAAGATTTTCTTTCATTCTTACTTTGTTGAAGCTCTTCACTACAGAAGAGACCCCTTGTTCCAATATCCATCTCAATGCAATCTACAATATTAACAGTAGAAGCACAAATTTTACATGGACCTGGAATCTTTGATAAACTTCCCAAAAAATAAAAAAACTTTTAGCAGAACATAATAAGAAAAAAATAAAATAAATTTATCTGTGAATTAAAACTAATTTATACAAAGTTAATAAAATTATTTTGGAAAAAACCAATAGTAATATAAAAGAACTTCTACAAATTAATTTATGTATATAAGTAAATTTTTCACTTTAAAAAAAAACTTATTCCATTTTTTGTTTTGTTATAAGTGTTTTTTGAAAAAAGTTTATCTAATCATACCCATAAGAGAATTAGCGATACCAAAGTAGTGTAATTTTATTTTATGAATTCCAAAGAGAAAATTGACCTGTGGCACAGTCTTGCCTGTTGTTGTTGCAATGTGTTTAAGGACTGGACTCTCCATTACAGCAAGGGAACCCCACGAAGCACCATTAGCTCCCAAAGGGGACCACGCACTCACATGAATTCCTTTCTCTTGGCAGAACTTTCTCAGGTTTCTCTGCTGCCATGCTACATTCATTTCAACCTGTAACCATTAAGTTTTTAGACCGATGAGAATGACAAAGCTTTACAGTTATAAATATAAAGTGATATTTCTCAAGGTATTACTATTGTATATGCAGAGATAATGGAGTTACATCATGTACACAAGTATTGGTGTTGACCTCACAAGGATCCAGAGATAATAGAGGAGCACAGCAGAAAGCATTGAATTTATATAAAACTTGTCTACAAGCTTTAAGCCATACATACTCTTAAATTCTACCATATCTGATATCTCACTTCTATGAGGAAATTAGAACATTTTCTCAAGACCAAATATAGATCATTCATTTTGATAAAATACCCTATTGAAGACTAAGGACAACCACACAAAACAAAATACATGAGCACATTGAGCAGCATAGAGAAAAGCAGTGAGTTTATGCATATAAATAAGAGATAGATGTGACTATGACAGTACTAGCTTTAGTTAAGAAGCCAAAAATTCTATTGCCATTTTTTTTACCATATCTGATATCTCACCGTCTCGAGATCATTAGTTGAAATATATATAGATCATTTATTTAATAAACGTCCCATTTAAGACTAAAGACCACTCTCAATTAAGTTCAAACCTCCAATTGATCCATCATTAAAACAAAAATAAGAAATCATAAAATTTTTAGTCAATGTCATTGCAAGTCGATAACGCTCAGTCTTACATAACCAGGATGATGTATACCTGATTAACAGCAGGGGTAATAGTTGCATTCTGCAGAAGCTCAGAAAGCTTTCTTGCTCCAAAATTGCTGACACCAATAGACTTGGTTAAGCCTAATTTAGAGCACTCTTCCATGGCTTCCCATGTCCCTTTTATGTCAAAAGGAAGCACGTCTCCTTTGGAAATATTTCCTCCAATTCCATGTCTCAACCTCACCGGAAAATGGATTAGGTAAAGATCCACATACTCAAGTCCCAACTTCCTATAAAAAGGTTCAAAATCAAACTAGAATAACAATCAGACAAAAGAAACACCAGCAACCAAAGAGTTTGATTCTAATACAATGTCAGCGTAACGATTTTAACATTTTCAACAAATCAAAATTCACCATAAGTATGACATTTAAAGTCATTATAATATATAAAGTTAATAATCCTACCATATACATAACAATCCATTATTAGATGACAACATAAAAAAATTCATAACAATATCTTGAATGATATTACTTAAGTGATTTCTTGAGTGCTGGGAGGACAAGGCCAGGATGTGCATCAGAACACCACAGCTTGGTTGTGACAAAAACCTCACCACGATTGTGAATAAGACCTTGGCGTTGTGCATGTGCGAGAGCTAGGCCAAGGGCATCCTCAGAACCATAGAGAGTTGCAGTGTCAAAATGACGGTAGCCAGCTTCAATGGCAGCTATGAACACAGAGACGAGCTCATCATGCGGAGGGAGGGGCACAGCTGCAGTGCCAAAAGCCAAGCATAGGCATGCTGTGGCCAGAGTTTAGCACCACTTCTTCTTCTTCCTTTGCTTCCATCAATTTGTGTCCATATTCTCCACTCATATTCCTATATGCTGCCATCTCTCAATTAGAAATTAAAATAAAAAGAAAAAATTAATTAAAAGACAACTCATACAGACTTATATACATGATATTATATGTTGAGGAAGATAATTTTATAAAAAAATTCTAAATATTAGGTTGGTGGAGACAATTTTAAAAAAAATACAAATTAATAATAATTATATATATATATATATATATATATATATAT